TATAATGTGATCCACTAGACTTAGTCGAAACGCATAGGCCGGGTCTAGGGGGTTACACGTTGTCTTGCTAATAAAATAAGAATAGTTTTATACAGTAGAAATCCAATCGTGATAATTTCGAAGTAAGTGAAAGGTGATATTCCTGATTGTGATAGCTATTCACTTGCCCTGGCCAGGCAGGATGAAGAGCGGACACCTCAGGAAATGCCTAGTAAGATCAAAAGCTGATTTCAGAAAGCTGAAATCATATATGAATAATGATAGAAAATTCTCATCCTTTGGAATCGGAAAAACGATGTAGAGTAGTTTTGTTATTATGTGAATAAGATAGAAGATGGTGAACGGGTGTCACCATAAGAATGTTAAAAAGATCTAATGACGTGATGATTACGTATAGAAGAACTCAAGGATAAGTGCATCAGTGACAAGCGTATAAGATGTATAAGTCAGAGCTTATGAGTTTGAAACGAAGTGATAATATTGCGCATAAACAAGAGTATGTTTATGATAAGGGTTTGCGGTTAAGATGGAAAGAGTTAGCATTGGCTAACTAGAGTATGTGATAAAAATGTACTGGAATTATAAGATTATAAGATATTGTCAGGATATGATAACCAGATCTGCAATGGATCTGGATACAGTTGCATATTTGGATCATAGTAATGTGGTATAGTAAAGGAAAAGGAAGTAAGAATTTGTATATTTAAATAAAGCTGAGGATTGATAAGAAGAGTTTGAGAATATGTATATCGATGATCAGATTATAAGACACAGGAAGTCAGAATGTTGAGTTTGAATAAATGAAATTTGGGATATATGAGAATCAATGTGTAATTGATAAGTTGAGTAAGCGAAGGTTGAGATAATTTAGACTGGAAAGGATGTATATGATTGGTATAATAGGGCTTGTGCCCTAGATTGAACGAATGTTATTATCTAGCTGTCAGAGTAAAAGTGATAGAATTATAAGATTGAAGGAAAAGATAAAGTTGAGTTAATTGATTATGATGCGAATTTGAATATGGTTGTATATTCTGAGCAGATAGCTATGATGTAGAAACTGAGATAAGTATTTGCATGGAACCTTCAGGAAGAAAAAAAAATACAAGTATAAGAATGATAAAGAATGAAGTTATGTATAAGAAATGGGTTATTAAAGTAATGAGGATGCAATGAAGATTGGTACATAAAGATGAGTATAAGTAATAAGACAAGAGTATGTGAACATGAAAGGAAATATATGATTTATGTATAAGGAATAAGGAATAAAGAAATGAAAGGGATTGATTTAAAGGATCAGATACGATAAATATGGAAGTACAGAGGACAATTTTGATATAGAAATAAGACAAGTGTGCAAGGTGATGTGAAAATATTGTTTGACTCCTTAAAGTATATGTTTAATCACATTGAAGAAGATTTAAAGTTGTGTTTTGGTCAAATGATGACGAAATACAAGTTTGGTATGGTTATAAGGTAATTAAAGATTGAAAAAAAAAATTTGATTGATTAAGGATTTTGAGTGATAAGAACTGATGCTATTGGTTATATGATAAGTAACATGATAAGGATGTATAAAGGAAAAAGGTAGTTGAAGAACTAAGAGAAAGAAAGATTAAGTAAAGGAAACAACATGAGAACATTAACAGACATGTTTTTATCAATGTGTGTAGTGGAAATTCGAGGACGAATTTTCTTTAAAGGAGGGGAGATTTGTAACATCCCAAATCAGGGTCAGTGACTAAATTGCAAATTTTGTAAACTAGGTGCTCGATTTCGAAATAAGTTAAAAGTTCATGGATTTAATTGAAGAAAGTTGATGTTGGATTTAATGATTAAGTTTGGAAATATTAAGGGTACTATGGTAATTTTTCAGGGAATAATTTTTATTTCCCTTTATAAAGGGTAATAAGCGTAGGAAGAAGAGTCCAGAGCATTCTTCAGTCTTCTTCTTCCTCCTCTCAACCGTGAAGCCTGGTATAAGGTAAGTGGGTCTTTAGTTGGTTAATTCTTTCGTTTTAAAGCTTGTTTTGATTCTTGGGATATTAAGAAAGATTAAGGAAAGCTTTAGGTGGCTTAAACCTCAAAGATTAACAAGTTATGAGAAATTAAGAAAAATGAGTTTTTAAGTGAATTTTTGATATGGAAGGAGATAATAGATTGTGAAGTTGAATTTGACTTGTCAAGGGTTAAATTAAGAAGTATGAAGTGTTAGAATTGGAATTAGAACACATTGAAAATTTGGTATGCTTTTTGAATCTCATATGGAAGATAGGATTTTGAGGTTTAAGATGAAATAAATGAATATAGATTGGTTTAAGTATGTGTACTAGAGTTAAGAATGAAAAGGGGATGATATATGAAGTGTTTAAGTGGAAATGAAGTAATTTTCGGGTTGAAAATATGATTTCTGGGCAAGGGGAATCGGTACCCATTCAAGGGGAACCGATACCCCTTCAAACGACAAATTTCCAGAATGTCATGAGGGAATCGATACCCCCTCAGTAGGGAACCGATTCCCCCTAAAGGAAAATGGGAATATTGGTTTAATAAGTTCGTTTAAGCTGCTAGTATCTAATTAAAAAGTGTAGGTATCTAATGATTACCTCGAAATGTACATTTATGTAGATTCTACGCATAGAGAAATTCCGGAACGTTTGGCAAGTAAGATCGATCAAGGGAAAGATAAGAGATTGGAATTGACTAGTGAGGCCAGGTGAGTGCATATTCAATAGTATATGATGTGCAATGGGAATAAGACTTGCGATGAGTCTATTTCCTGAAGTGTTACACATGAATGCATGATTAAAGGCATGAGTTGAATATGCATGTATGTATGCTTGAGTATATGGATTGATTTGTTCTTTTATGTGTTAGATGATAAAGTATAAGTAATTACATAAGAAATGTTATGAATTATATGAGATATAAACTATGTGATCATAGTAAAATATTATTACTATATGATAAGTGAAATAAGATGGATAACATTGATCTATAGGATGAAGTGAGAATAGTACACTAACTAGGAGATTTGAACATAAATGATAAGATGAACATATAAGATAAGCTAGATGGGAAGGATTCATATGTTTAAATAAAACTATAACACATGGGTTGTATGATAGAAAATTATGAAGTTATATGAGAAGATTATAGGAATTATATGAAATTGAATTAAGTAAACATATTAGATCATATATAGAGAAATAATAGAAGTGAGATATGTTTATAAGTCTGCCCTAGATGAATATGAATACGAAATATAAGAGTGCTATATGATTTATATTAGGATAATCTTGAGGATATATATATATAGATAGATATGAAATGAAATGAAATGAGTTATATGAATACACAATTATGTGATGAAATGGTGGATTACCGAACATGTGAATATATATATATATGTCTAAGAGAAGGCATAAGATTAAGATATAAGCAATGTGACTATAAGTGTATGTGCTCTAAGTGATATGACTTATAGATATTTCCATTATAATGTTACATGATATGTTATGTATGTTAAAGGAATTATGTGATGGTATAAGAATTGATATGAAATATATATGTGAAAACAAGTATATGTTATGAGACAAAACCTATGATTATAAGCTACGTGAAAGTGTTCCTATCTGTTATATGAAGTATATGATCATATGTGAACAAGATATGATGAGTATGTGACATGTGAATTATATGGAAATGATCTACGTATAAGTGAACTACGTGACTATGTGATAATATGAAAAGAAGCTATGTGATAAGTGATATGTGAAAGTGAATTACAAGTTATGTGAATATTTGAAATGAAATAAATGATAACGCACATGTTATGTGTCATGAGAGCTAGGGGTATAGTTGGCATGCCAAGAGTCGAGGGTCTACGCGGTTCTTCGAGACATATGTATATTCTTTGGAACATGTGTGAAGTCTAGAAAGACACATACTTGATCCCTAGCATATGTATATGATTCTTAAAAAATTCTATGTGGTCCTTATGGACATTATTATATGGCACTACGGTGCAATTCTATACGGTTCTTCGGGACATATGTATATTCTTTGGAACATGTGTGAAGTCTGGAAAGACACATACTTGATCCCTAGCATATGTATATGATTCTTAAAGAATTCTACGTGGTCCTTATGGACATCATTATATGGCACTACGGTGCAATTCTACGGGGCACTTCGGTGCATTTATACGAGCTGTGGTGACAGCATAGTGCACAACCTCTATAGACTCACATATCGATAGTTCTCACATATGTACATGGGCTAATCCAGAGATATGAACAAATATAAGTTAGTGGTATGATAAATGCTATAGAAATGATATGATGTTGTGTGTATAGTGTTTGATTGAAAAAGTATGTGATTATATGATAAACTGTTAATGATGAATTATGTGTATGTATGTATTTACTACAATTAATCTGATATGATTTTATACGATATGAAAAATGCATGGAATTGCTATAACATGATAGAACAGAACATGCATGTATCAATATATGTTTTAAAGTGCATTATAAGTTGTTATGCCTCACTAAGTCTTCGACTTAGCGTGTGATTGTTTCACACGTAGGTTTCGAGAAGAGTAAGGAGTGATGCGGAGCAAGACAGGTCAGTTTTCCTTACCAAAAGATCAGATCAGAAATAGTTGACAAAGTATGTATTTGGTTATGTATAAAGTGTTGGCATGTAATAAGTCATTAAGTACGAGCACTCTGATAAAGTCTTTATTTTGATTTAAATAAAGTTTTAAATTTCCCGGGATTTTTCTTAAGAGTCAAGGTTTGAAAAGTCAATGTGACACTTCGGATTCGTATCCGGGTCGGATACGGGTTGGGGGTGTTACAGGTTACATCTTCACTCATGGATTAAAAATGAAAAGTTGGAGCAACATAGTTCAAATTAGCTCTCACCTTTGATCTTGAATTTTTGAAGAATTGTGTAAATAACAAGTTGTTTTGCGGTATACATTTGTTTTGTAGGCGAGTTCACCTTATGGACACATTTATCACATCGGAGACGATGTGGATTCCGGCAACTTTGCATTTACCGCGGCTGAGAAGGGTGCTTACACTGCTTGTTTTTTGGCAGCTAATCACCAGCCTCCGGTAAGGATCACCATTGATTTTGGTTGGAAAACTGGTATTGCTGCTAAAGATTGGTCCTTGGTTGCCAAGAAAGGGCAGGTTGATGTAAGTTCATTTACCATATTGTTTTATTAACTCGGATTCATATTCGAATATGCGTCAAACACGAATTATTCACATAAGTACTCCGAGAGAAATGAAGAGTAGGAATAACATTGACGTTATTTAGCTTTGACTGATTTCGAATACATACTTGTATCTGATACTCATCCCGAAGCCAAGAGAAATAAAAAGTGTATACCTTTTTACTATGTTACTCGGACCAAGAGGGTTTTGAAAGGTAATCTTCATGTATATGTTCGAATACATATCGGACACGAATACTTAAAAGTCCGATTGCATCACAGTTAACAACTTTTAACATTCTATTCCTTGTAGATGATGGAGCTGGAACTGAAGAAATTGTATGACACCGTCACGGACATCCATGAAGAGATGTTTTATCTTCGCGAGAGGTGTTTATTTTCGATTTAATTCGATTAGTTCATGCAATACCGATAATGTTTATTCGAGTATTTTTTTTAAATTCAGGGAAGAAGAAATGCAACATCTTAACAGCGAAACAAATTCGAAAATGACAACACTTGGTTTCTTCTCCATTGTTGTATGCTTATCAGTGGCTGGTTTGCAGATTTGGCATTTAAAGACATTTTTTTGAAAGGAAGAAGCTCCTTTAGTTGGAACCTGTTGTTTGCTGCAGTTTTAATCTTTGTATTTGTTTCAGAAAAAAAAAACCGGACCGGATCGGTCAAACAAATTGAATCGAGAATCGGTTATCCGTTAAGAATGATATATGAATCATCAAACCATATGTTATTTAGTAAGGTTTCATTTTATTTTGAAATCAATACATGTCGATCGATACAATACGGAGAACACATAGTGGATACCATTAATGGAGGTATGCCCTAACCCTTTATTTAGTATCTATATATATTATGGCATGAATCGAACTCCATTTATGCAACGAGTCACCGGTCCAATCAATCATCGTCGTAATCACGACGCCGACGGTTTTGCTCTCGACGACTCTTCTTTTCATCATCACCACTGTCACTATCGTTACCCTGCAATGTTAGTCATGGTACAATTGAGTGAGTTTTGAGACAGACTAAAATGCACACTGTACTCGAATGTATGTTACTTAAATTCGGAATAACTCACGTGTTTTTTGTGGTCATAATTCTTCCTATCATCATTTTCGTCATCGTAATCATTCTTCTTTTTACGATTTCTCGACTTCTTGTCATCGTTATCATCGTCGTCATCATTATTTTTCTTTTTCCTATATCTCGACTTCTTATCGTCATCATCTTCGTTACTGTCTTTCTTTTTTCTATATCTTGACTTCTTATCATCATCGTCTTCGTCATCCTTTGACCTCCTATAACTCGACTTTTTATATCCTTCTTCATCGTCATCGTAACTCGACTTCTTATACCCTCCACTTCCATGGCTTTGCTTCTTCACATGACTAGACCCGTAGTTGGACTCCGAATCCCCGTATTCGGATCCTTGTTCTCCATACTCGGATTTCCGACCAGGTCGTTCATCATCCGACTTTCGTCCATGCCCGGATTTCATTCCATGACCCGACCCGTGTCCACCACCATAAGCACTTGGTATGCTTCCGGAGCCGAAATTTGGACGTTCGTAATCAAAATCTCCTTCGGATGAACGATGGTAGCAGGTGGCCTTGCATGGCTCCAACGGTTGTCCGTAGGTTACAAAGAGGTCGAACCCGCCTTTGTATGGCTTCGGATTGTACTCTTCGAACTCATCGGGTTCATCGTTGTCGGGCGTCGTGTAATACGGCATCGTTCCAGCGTTGGCTCTACGTTCTTGGAAGAAAAACTAAAGGATTCTTATTTGTGCATGGAGATAAATATACGATGGAAAGTCAGAACGTTGAGTAGGAGATAAAGGAGGGGAAGCGTTTGAATAGGACCAGGCAGTGATATTGGTTACTAAAAATTCATAAATGTGCAATTAGGTCCCTTAACTACTCAATTTGATCACTGAATGTTGACATGGCATAAATTAATCAATTCATGTGTGACACTGTGACGTGTAATCATATGGTTTGTGTGTGTAATTTTTTTAATAATGTTGGATAATTACAAGATAGTATTTGTTTAATATATTTTTTAGTCGTTGACAACATACACCCTACTGACACACTGTTTGAATTCAAGACTTCTAAGGAGAATATTACTCCCTTTAACTACTGAGGCTGCTTGATGAATTCAAGGCAAGCTATTGCGATCAGAGTATCTACGGATCCCTGTGTATTCCGGGATGAACTGACGAGTACTAGATGTGGTCGTACCTTTGAAAATTTTAAATTCTCAAATTATTTAGGTATTTTTTGTTTATTATCTAATTTCGCACCTCCTAAATTTCTAATATAAATTCATAAGTTCATATCTCTGACATATATATATGTAGATGTCCTTCTGTGTGCTCTAAAACAGCACAACTCTAATTGTCCTATACACTGCAAATCAGATGGATTTATAAAGAAAACTTCTTAGGAGTCGACCGATTATATGTTTTTCTGTCGAACCTCTAAGACATATAATCAGTCGATTCTTATATATATGTAGGTTATGATGTATCGATAAAAGTGCGTCATAATCAACACAATGAAGGGTCCGACGTCGGAGCGGGAACCTTTGGAACTTGGAAGGGTGGTCGGTCTTTGGAACCTTTGGAACATGTAGGTTGGAATAACTCTTAGAAGTGCTTGCTTTTACGAGTACAAGGTATTTTCCTTGTTCCAGATTGTACAACTAAATAATGGCTCCTTTGACTTAAACAGTCGATGTTTCGGCCCCGGCTGCTGTTGATTGAAACGGGTGACCTCGGTTCGAGAATCGCTGGATGAAGAAGCATGACAGTTCCATATGCACGGATTCATCGACCCTAATCCGATCCGACTTTGGCCTGCTCAAAGGATGGCCCTGAAAATACCATTGTATGGAACTGTATGGAAGGCTGGTATGAGCTTATATTTAGTGGTTTCATGCATAGAATGAGGCAATATTCTTATTAAAGATTTTAAGAAAAATGGTAAGCTTATATGGTTATCCCAGACGATCTCGATTTCCATGAGTACTGCTTGTATCTCATAAGTAACTCAAATACAAGACTCTACAATTATAAAAACTGATTAATATAAAAAAAACAGTAATTAAAACATGTTGGTACAAAATTTATTAATATGTATAGTATACAAAGAAAATGGTTTCTGGTCAAAGAGATTTTATGTGCCAAAACAAAATTTATCAAACTCTAATCCCTTTTGTTTGTAGAACAAATGGCAACTCTACCTGCAAACTCTTCGAATCAAGGAATAAAAAATAGGACAGTGTACTGAACTGGTCGGACCTCCGGATCCAAGTTCGACTACAACAGAAAATATGAAGTTGCCACAACCAAACTATCAAGTTTCCCTTTTCCATGGCTTCAGTTCTGGACTTTCTGAGATTTTGCAATGGTAAACATGTATGGAATGGATTTTACATCATCTTCAAAGAGATTTATGGTCTGGGATTTTCTGACTGTGTCTTTTGCTGTTTTGCTTGTACCTGCTCCAGTTCTTGTTCTGTGAACACTTCGGATTCGCTTGATGGTATGAGCAACGCCCCATCGGTCGATGGAAGATTGGTTGTCTTTTGTTGTTTTGCTTGTACCTGCTCCAGTTCTTGTTCCATGAACACTTCGGATTGCAAAGATGGGGCAATTTTCTTCACATGCAGCCATGTCAATTGCCAGAAACTCTCTCCACCGAGATCATCACTCGGCACAAGCACCCCAGTAGTCTTCATCACCAGCAGGGTGTTCTTGAGAAGCTCAGGGACGAATTCATGCATTTTCTCACTACGTTTCCCTCGGAACTTGACTTTCATGCATCTCTCCATACGATCGAGAACCCCAAGCCATAATTTGCAGAAGGATGGTTGCTGTGATAGATCCTGCAGTGACTGTAAGAAAGCTTTCAACAGTAATTTTGTGGCTAAAACAAGTGTACCCTCCATTTTCCGGTATTCTTTTGAGGAGCTCCCCTGTGCAATTTCTAGCAAATCATCCATCAATGAAAAAATCACATGGTCGAAACAATGGAACCACATAGCATTTGGAATCTGAATTCCGTCTACCCCTCCTAAAGAACTCTGTAACATTAAAACGGCATGGTTCCTCACCTCTTCCCTCTGGTCCAAACATACTGCCCTCAGTCCACGCACCACCCTCAGCCACATCTCTCCAATGTCCTGACTTACTTTCATAGCAGCCTCCTCTTCCACAGCACTCCGAGCCTCGTTAGACCATCTTACTAGACAAACAACTGAACCTGCCATCATGTCTAGGGCAGAAATGGACCTATCAACCTCTGCGACCCGAGACTCGGCAAACTCCCTTGCCGCATCCACGCAAAGAACATAATTAGACGGCAAAAGATGCGCCCCCTCAGACATGATGAATGCTAGTGCCTCGAATCCGAACTCAGATGCTTCTGGATGTCGAGCGGTGATAAATAACAAGGAGATGATCGTACGCCAACCCAAATGGGATCTGATGTGAGTTGCATTTGCTTTCACGAGATGCATGACTTCTAGCGTGATAGGTCCACAATACGCATCAGCAACCCAAGCATCAAGTTTCAATATTAGTTGCATGGACTTTAGAAGCTCATCAGTTATATTTTCCTTATAAGGAAGCAAGCGCTGGCATATCTTAAGGAGCCCAAACACAGCTTTTTCAACTAGAGTGCATGGTACTGCCTTCTGCTGGACAATATCCGATATGTGCTTGTACACCTTTTGCCAGATTATCAAAATTCTATCCCGGTTATTCAGTGTGATAGTGATCAACAACTCCAGGCAGAAGACTGAAGTGTCTTCATCTTCAATGACCCTGATTCCTTTGCTGAATCGATCTGCAGCCAAGATAATGGCATCAACAAGTTGCAATAAAGACTCTGCTTGGAGAAACTTACTCTCCATGAATATATTATCGATGTGGCATTCCTGTACTATCTCACGAAGATGCTGTTGAGCAGCGAGCTCTTCCTCGGTTGGGTACAACTGTGGCTCTTCCATATCAAAGGATAGGAATTGACTGAACCGTCCAATCAGGCTCGAAGATTTCTGGGGAATGGCCGCAGGTGCTGTCTGTGATCTTTGTATAGAACTTGTAGCAGGCTTACCGTGCTCATGGTCAGACGAGGACTCGATTTCATCAGTTGCATCACTAGCTAAATGGGTAGGTAGAAGGTCAAGCTTGTGCAAGGTTAAGACACAGTCCAATATGTTTTTCCAGCCACTGTGGATACAATCACCATAGCTATTTGCTATAGTGAAAACTGTTGTTGTCGCCATCCTCGCTCTGGCATCATCTCCGAAGGAAACAATGGCCTCTTCAATGGACAATGGAGTTGATAGGTTCGTAAATTTACAAAGAGACACGACCAAATCATCCAATACATCACCGGAGTGATAGTGCGCTGAAATTTTGGCAACAGCCAAGAATCCCTCGATGTACATTTGTAAAACATCTTCATGTTCCACTTGATCAAAAACCACAGATATAGCAGCAATCGTGGGACCAGACAAGATAGAAAACATATCAAGGTCAAGGAGTGCTCTAGAATCACATGCAATGAAAGGGGTGCTTTCTTTGGATTTGTGAACCACATTAATCCAGCGGCCTGATGTCATTACTGAGAAACCAGCACCTTGATCAGGGATCATCTGAATTTCGTTCTCACAGATAGAGTGGTAAAGCTCAGACAAGTACTCTCGAGGAAGATCTTTCCCACCATTGATGAGTCGATTGTTACGGATAAAATCTTCTTCAGTCATCTTTTTCTTAACCTGTACATTGTGTTGATCTGTGTTAAGCATTATAAGCGAATACGACAACAAGAGGGCAGCATCTTTATTACAAAATATATGTGGTGATAGCTCGTAATATCTTTCAGCAAATGCCTCGAGCACTCTCTGTATCTTCTGTGACTCTCCAGGCAATCTGAAAGTTCCCAAGAAAACACGTAATGCTGAATCTAGATTCATGTCACTAAAATCGAAGGTCTTCACAAATTCATGAAGCACCCAAACACAAAATTCATCATGATTTCCTAGAAAATCTCCGATAAGATTCTTATCTAGCCCAGTTGTGTACCTAAAGAATGATGCTACACTTTCTGGGTCAAGCTTATCAGGTAATAGATGGATTCCTTGGAGAAATTCCAGACCTTTCTTGGGATCTCGATTAAAATGATCAGCACCGATTTCCAACTTTCTCTTGATGTTCTTCATCTTTCGGACAAAAGGAATCCAATAATTAGGATCACCGTAGTTCTGACATTTCAATGTCCAGAAAGCTTCATATCCCTCACAATCTGCCAATGCCTCATTCGATATAGGCAATTCGTTGCCGATTCTCTCAGCCATACCCTTCACTGTAGATACCAAACCATCCAGAGCAAGGATATGCATTGCAGACAAAGGTCCATTCACGGGAAATGCACTCTTTGACAACAGGTTGACAATGTCTTCAAAAACATTACTGCAAGTTATGTCACAATCATAATTAGTATACATCTCAGCCACAAATGTCTGCTGCCGACAAAGGTCGACCAAAGCTTCCAAAGCAACCTCCTGCTGTTGGTAAGAAGACCCGTGCTTGCTTTGTGCAAGCTTCAAAAGCACGCACGAAAAGAAAGCTTCGAGCTGCACTTTTAGTTCAGAGCGCAAATGATAATAGAGATTGAGAACGATGCTACACACAGTAGAAAGAATAAGCGGGCTCAAGGATAAGCCAAATTGCATCAGATTACGAAACAATTCATCCTGAATTATAGCCAATAACTTGGGATGCTTGCTGAATGATGGCCCACCCAATTCTATAGCTGAATTAATTAAACCCAGGGCAAAGAGTGGAACATCTTCATCATATGCTACGGGATTCAATTTAGGGCTAATACCAATATTTTCAATGACATTCAACAGAGAACACAAAAACTGAAATATCTCCACCATGCATGGGATCCCAAAAGGTGCGGACATCAATCTTTCATCATGTAGGGTGTCCTCCTTCTCTTCCCTTTCGCCAGACTTAATTGTGTCGGATTCAGAACTGGCCTGCACCATTGGAGGACTAGAAGTATCAGCAGCAAGAGAGGATGGACCATCACAAATGGTACCAACATTTCCATTTTCTACCTGTGTACTTCCAAGAACAAGATTCCCATTTTGTGTACCCACCTGCGAAATAAAAATGAATTTCATAAGTTAGAAGGCAACAAATGGGTTACTATGTTCAACTAAGAACCTAAACTATGACATAAATTACCACTCCAGAAGTAGATAACAAGCTTCCGTTAGCCATCTCATGTTCAGTGCTGCTGATCTCAGAAAGATGTGAGAAAATACACCTAATCAGTTCATGCATTGTATGCCGAGCTATCCGTTGCAACAGTTCACCTTTGGAGTTTGCTTGATGAACAATACGAAAGCATGTATTTGCTATCATGCATACATGCTTATTACTCAACCTAGTTGCAGCCTTACTTTTCATGCAAGCTAAAAGAACTTGAAGTATCTTCATTAGTACCACTTCTTCAGAAGCTGGATCGGTTACCTCAAACCGGCAACTCGTCACAGCATCTACAATCAGATGCATAGCTTCTTCCACGTTTACAGTATCCAAGTCAAGTACATCGATGGTCAGGATTTTATAAATGGAAGACAAGGCAACACCAGTTATCGGTGCACCAGTTTCATCAGATTTAATTACATCCAAAAACGGCTTAAGGTACACAATTGGATCAACATTTTGCCACTGATATCCCCATGAGAAAATTTGTTTCCGCAATTCTTTCAAGGAATGGATGAGAGAGTGCTCCAGCTGATCATCATCTGCAACATAACGGATTCCCCATCGGACATTTCTCCTCATGACAGCCAGAACAGCCCCAATTTCAGAATTAATCATACATGCGAAAGCACCTTTAGAAGGCTTGACAAGCTCTCCGTTAAATCCATTATAACGAGATTGTGTAATCAAATCCCCCATATTCAAACAAGATTCTTAATGAAACTGAAAATTATTTCTCAACGAAGAAGCCGGAAACTACTCAAACAAGATGCTAAACTCAGGCAAAATCATGCTATCTGCTGCAATCAACAAATGGATGTAAACAATTGAATTCGAATATAAACTAGGAAATAAATCTTCTCAGACGCTGCCATAAAGGTGAAGAATGAAGATAACAGTTAAGCCCTTTGATAACCATCAATTACCAGTAGTGTCATAGTTTGAACTTCACTTTTATTACAACAATCATAGCCAGTTATAAAGTACAATACAAATAATTAAACTACGCAGTCAAATATTATCTTCTGGAATTAAGCAGCAAAGGGCAAGAAAATTTGAACCAAAGTAACTACAAAACTGAAGATTAAAAATAATTAAATTGAGATCACAACTCGAGAGAAAGAAAAACAAAAACACAATAAAGGAATCAACGTGTAGACCTAAAAGAAATTGAAAAGAAATCAAAAAGGAAAGAAAAACCCAAATTCAAATCCCAGAAACCAGACCTATCCCAATTCATCAAAACGCAAACAGAATCAAACTAAGACTTGAACAGAAATATAAGATTCAAGATCAGCATTTTAAAGGATGAATCATGAGTCATCAAATCTGGGTCGATTTGGAAGGTACAATAATGTTTATTTAACCCCAAAAATAATTAAGGGAAAAACTGGATCGAGTGAGGAAATATGGTACCTTTCTCGAGGATTCCAATGGTGGGAATTGGGGAATAACTAGAAAAGGAGTGAACTCTGAAGAAATTTTGGAGCGTTTTGGGTTTCATGGGAGATAAAAATAATTTTTTTTTTTGGGATCACAAATTGATCTTTGTTTTTAGAAAATACAACCTTGTTTTTTTTAACAACTTATTTATTCTTTCAAATTCAAGTGTTATATTTTAGGTTAAATTCTTTTACTAGTCCTTGTACTATGTAAAATTTATATATTTAGTTATTATATATAAAGGTGAACATCTGATTTAGTCGAGTCGGGTCAAAAAAATTTGATTTAGTCAAATTGACGAGTATTATTTTATAACATAATTTTTTTGAAAATTTTTGAGTTGGGTTGTTCGAGTTTCTGTTTAAATTTAATTATAAATATTAATAATTATACGAACACTAATTAGTTTGAGTTTAAATAACTTTTTATAACCATATACGATATACATATATATTTCTTCATATTTTTAAATATGATATACATATATCATATAGAGTTGAGAGAATTGACTCAAACTTAAAAAATTAATACATTAATTATTAAAAAATTTGAGTTATTCAAATCCCATTTTATAACTTAAACTTTGTTTAAAAAAATTTCAAATCAAGTTGAGTTTATAAAATTATAAACCGAGTTAAATCAAATTAAATTTTTTAATATCAAACTAAAATATTCAATTTTTTTAATCAAATTGAATTTTATTTACCTAATTAAGTTGAATTGCAAGAGAACTTAATTTTATTTTATCTTTCTTTGAACATATACGTTAGTGCATTGTTGCAAATCTTTCTACTAATTTTATTTGATTCTTGTTATTGTTTTTTTGTAAAAAAATAAATTTAGAAAATTTAAATTATAAGATTAAATTTAAAAAAAAATATCGATTTAATTTCAATTCAATTGATGTAATTATTATTTTCCTATCTTATATGAAGAAAAGATAATTTAGACGTAGTTTAAAAAAAGTTAATTAAAAAAACAAATGTCTAAATTATTTTTTTTTGTTTTAATTATCTAAACTTTTTTATATGAAAATAGGTAAAATATCTGATTTGCTCGAAACCCTATACATTAGACTTTGTTCTAATCAGCGAGATTGGCATGAGATCCGAACTCGATCCGATCTAATGTGGTCAGGGTTTTTTTAAAATTTCATGTTTATATCGGGTCGGGTTGAGTTGAGTTTTTTTAATGTGATATTCGGATCGGGTCGGGTTTATGTGAAAATATCCGACCCAAAAAATATATAATTTTACTTTATATATTTAGAAATAATTACAATAATACCCTTCTATATATTATTTTTTTCAATTAAGTCATTGTTTTTATTGAATAAAAATAATATTTTTATTATTATTTCGGGTCTGGTCGAGTCGGATCTGATCGAATTTTTAAGTTATATATCGGGTCAGATCAGATATTAGATGGAAGATTTCTTATTCTCGGATCGAGTCAGATGGACTAAAAATCCGACCCATGCCTATCCCTAGGATAGAGGCGAACTTTCTCGCCAACTCTCTTACTAAACTACAAGCCAAGTCTGATGGCTCAATTCATATTTTTCTGGGATGCACCATCTTTACTGGTTGATACTCTTTCTAGAGACCTACATAATCATCCTCATTCGAAGAAGCATAATTTCATGATATAAAGGCTTAGCCTTCTTACCGTTAAAAATGATTTTTTTTCTTCAAATTGGCCATTTGTCAAAGTACATCTATCACATTGAAAAATATAAAGTTATAATGTCAAAATTAACCCCCATTGCTTATTGACATGGTCATTTTGCTTCCTATTTTATTTTTTTGGAGCATTTTGACCCACAAACGTTTTATTTTAAGGCAAAAGACCTCCTAACATTTGACAGAATAATCACTTTGTCTCTTATTCTTTTTTATGAGACATTTTACCCCTCAATGTTTCATTATAGGTTAAAAAAGACTCATATTTTGGAGCATTAATCGTGTGTTAACTATGATTTTCATTATAGATGAAGTTTTTTGTCCCAAAGTAAAACGTTGGGGGCCAAAATGACCATCTTGATCAATGTTGGGGGCTATTTTTGGCATTGCACCAAATTTAAAAGTACAGGTTCCAGATTGAACAATTTAAAAGTAAAAATACCATATTGGAAATTTCTGTCAAAGTAAAAGTACCAGATATCTTATTATTCCTTTTTTCGATTAAAAATCTAAAAATCGAAGAAAACGACAAAGAAGGGGGATCACTGTTATTCTATCGAATCCTAAGGGTAGAAACTAGGGGGGAAAGTAAGATTTTTAGTCCAAAAATAAAAAAATAAAAAAATAAAAAAAACTCGCTGGCTAGTTCTTCTCCGATTGGATTCTCTATCTAAAACAAAACCTAGCGGAGGTAGTTCCGATCGAATCAGGTAATCTTACACTTAATTCTAAAAATTTCTAACAGCTTTGATTCAATTGATTTTGATTTTTTTAATATATTTTTGCGTTTCTTTAAGTAAAAAAGGGAAGGAAAATGGATGGATCAGGAGGAAGAGGAGGAAGTGGAGCGGATAATGTATTATCGAATTACAAGCTTGGAAAAACGCTTGGAATCGGCTCCTTCGGAAAGGTTAAAATTGCTGAACATTGTTCCACTGGTTATAAAGTTGCTATTAAGATTCTTAATCGGAGAAAGATTAAGAATATGGAGATGGAGGAAAAAGGTAAATTTTTTGTGAGAATTTTCTCCTTCATTTTTTTGGTTTTAGAGATAGAATTTTAGGTTTTGTTTAGCTGCGGAAGTAAGAAAAATAGCTTGAGAATTAAGAATATAGTAATTTTGTTAGTTTAACGAAATTTGCGACATAAATATGCTTTGTTTGGTAGAAAATTGGAAAGATGAAAAATGGGAGGAGAGAAATTTGAAAGAAAATACATATATTTTAATAATATTAAAGAACAAATAATTTTCTTCCAAAACATAGCTTGGTAGAGTTGGAAAATTAAAGAATAATGCTAAACATTTAAAAATACATTACCAAGCTCACTCAAAATTTATTTTCTTTTCACTTTCCACATTTTTGCTCTATCAAGCACACCTTAAGTCTACCATTGATTATAAATTAGGTTTCTTGTTATTTTTTCCGATTGATTTTTTTTAAAGTTTGTTATTTTGAAGGATTGAATTTCTTAGGTTCAGTTTGATTATTACTTATTACTTTTTCTGCATGTTATCTTGCTTTCAGAACTAAAATAAAAAGTTATCAATTCAAACTTTATGAACTGTCTTGATTCTTCATTGTTGTTAAAATGAAAATGATTCATTGAGTGAAACAAAAAGAGGACCTTTAGTAGGTTTCTCAAATCTCAACCCATGTTATGCTTGGTTGAGTCATGATTGCATGGATTCTTGCATGTCGTTGTCAAATTCCATAGAATTATTGAATGCGGAAGGCTTACTCTTTGGTGCAGTTAGAAGGGAGATTAAAATTTTGAGATTGTTTATGCATCCTCACATCATACGACTCTATGAGGTCATAGAGACAGCAACAGATATCTTCGTTGTAATGGAATATGTAAAGTCCGGAGAACTCTTTGATTATATTGTGGAGAAAGGAAGATTGCAGGAGGATGAGGCTCGTAACTTTTTTCAGCAGGTCTGGTTGGAAATTATTGTTTATTACTATTAATTACCGTCATTCTTTTTCTTCTTAGAAATTATGTATGAAATCTTTAAGCAGATAATTTCTGGGGTGGAGTACTGCCATAGAAATATGGTGGTTCATCGAGACCTGAAGCCTGAAAATTTACTTCTGGATTCCAAATGCAATGTGAAGATTGCTGATTTTGGCTTGAGCAACATTATGAGAGATGGTCATTTTCTGAAGACAAGTTGTGGTAGCCCAAACTATGCTGCCCCAGAGGTAGGAGTCCGTGAATTTTAAATTAATGGTGGATTTCTTACATTTATTTTCACATTGTTTCAGTTTTCTTTAATTTAATTGAAATTTGTATCCTGTCAAGATGGCGTTTCCTAATGTGTATGGATCTCCATTGTTATAGGTTATTTCTGGGAAACTGTATGCTGGACCTGAAGTGGATGTATGGAGCTGTGGTGTTATATTATATGCCCTTCTTTGTGGCACCCTTCCTTTTGATGATGAAAACATTCCAAACCTCTTTAAGAAAATAAAGGTAAGTGACATCATATTTTAGTCCAAGGTTTCTCGTATGTCTTTCAAAAATATTTATCAGCTAATTCTATGCTTATGCTCATCTTATTTTCACTTTTTTGTATTTCTGTTCTGTCAATAATTTTGGAATCAGATTTTCGTTTTTAAGCATGTTTCTTACATTCTTAAGTCCTTAAAGAGCTGATACCTTGTATTTGGCATTATTTTTCCGTCAGGGTGGAATATACACACTTCCAAGCCATTTATCTCCTGGTGCTAGAGATTTGATTCCACGGATGCTTGTGGTAGATCCAATGAAAAGAATGACCATTCCTGAGATCCGCCTGCATCCGTGGTTTCAAGCACATCTTCCAAGATATTTAGCTGTCCCCCCACCAGATACAATGCAACAAGCTAGAAAGGTTGTTGATTCTGTTTTCTCCCAAGTTCAAGTGTTCAACTTCAGTTGTAAATAGCTTATATACTGCGATATTAAACGCTGAAAGGCATTGACGTAATATGATAACTTAAAAGTAACCATCAGGGTTGAAAAAGTGTACCTAGACTGCACTTTCTTGTGAAACTCTGAACTCTTGTTAGCTTCTGGATGTAGTTTTGGTACATTGAATACCGAATACTACAGTTTTTGTTTCAGGGAGAACCTTTTCAACACCCATACCTTTAAGTTTAATGTAAGGTACTTCGTAATCATTTAGTTTTCTTGCTTGTTATTGGACTTTTGGAAATAGATTTACTCCAATAACCTATTTCCCTACTATTCCCAACCCCATAAGTGACACAAGCCTTGCTTAGATGTTTTCTGGATCATATAATGAGATTTAGCTTGTGATTTGGTTGTCCCTGAGAAGTTCTTAATTCTGCTAATATTAGATAATTTTAATTTCAATACTTGATATTATGCCATGTCTTAGTTCTAGTGTCTGATTGAAACATAATTACAGATTGATGAAGAGATCCTTCAGGAAGTGGTCAGAATGGGATTTGAAAGGAATCATCTGGTTGAATCTCTTCGCAATAGAATTCAGAATGAGGTTTATTCTTCTCCAACTCATTGTCTTGATGGAACTGTTGCCTACTGTTGAGTATCTTCCAGGGAACTGTTGCTTATTTCTTATTGTATTATCTTCCAGGGAACTGTTGCTTATTACTTACTATTGGACAATCGTTTCCGAGTCTCAAGTGGCTATCTTGGAGCTGAGTTTCAAGAAACTATGGTGCGTTTTAGTTGTAATTTTTTTATTTATTGTTGACATTGCTTATCTAAAGCCGCCTCATGGTTATAGAATCCACTGTTTAGGACCTATTTCTTTTACACTGGTTAATTGACATCGTCTTTCTTCTTCCCTCACTTTCTTATTGAGTTCAGACTCTTTCTTTTTTAATATGTATTTTAGGAATCTGGCTTCAATCGCTTACATCCAAGTGAACCTACATCTCCAGTTGTTGGACACCGCCTTCCAGGATATGCTGATTATCAAGCAATAAGTTTAAGAGGCCTCGAGAGGAAATGGGCTCTTGGACTTCAGGTTGAGTTCGAGTCTCAAGCAGTTTTCCTACACTGACTTTGTATGATATCGGTTGTAGTCTTGTGGGTGATTATGCTTCAGTCGATAGGCATTTTAATGTCCGTGCTTTTATTTCTGACAATGACTTACTATGGGGAAAAATGAACTATAACTTACATGATAAATGTGGCTGATACTAATTAAGAAGTTCAGACAATTAAGACTAGAGTTGGCATGTAGCACATGTGGACGGCCACTACTTGAACCAACTCCTTTTATGTCCCAGAGTTTAACTTCTTTTTTTATATTCACAGTCTCGGGCACATCCTCGTGAAATCATGACAGAAGTTCTCAAAGCTTTGCAAGAACTCAATGTCTGTTGGAAGAAGATAGGGCATTACAACATGAAGTGCAGGTGGCTTCCTAGCATTCCTGGTCTTAATGAAGGCATGCTCACCAATCCCGTGCACAATAATCACTATTTTGGCGACGAATCAACCATTATTGAAAATGACGGTGTTGCCAAGTTACCTAATGTTGTCAAATTCGAAGTGCAGGTAATGTCAGAACTGATTATTGTGAGAGAACATGAGAATTTTACCGTGCTGTGTAGTTGTAGAATATCGAAAGTCCTCAATAAACATTCTAACACTTCTTCTGCCACGGATATCAACAGCTTTACAAAACAAGGGAGGAGAAGTATCTGCTGGATCTTCAAAGGGTTCAGGGGCCACAGTTTCTCTTCCTGGATCTTTGTGCTGCATTCCTCGCACAGCTCCGGGTCCTCTAAAACGAGTATGCTATATTTCCTAGGATCCTTCTCCATGAATCTCCTATGATGCATGTGAATAACAACATTCTATGTATATAACTTTTTGTGTGTGTGTGTGGAGCCGGTTCTCAAGACACTAGAGTTGGCCAAGGGAATATTACTTACTCGGTTATGTATGTTAGTCCAGCTTCTGATACTGTGCCTTTACTGGTGATTAGGGTTTCAACAATGTTATGGAACCTAAGGGAATTTTTATGAATTATCATGATAGAATTTACCTTGGTCTTCTGGAATTTACATAGGTCGAAATTTTGATGATCCTTTTCTTGTTCCATGTACTTGGGTGTAAGCGTACGATACAAGTACGTATTCAACTCGGATATATTTTTTTTCCTTCGATTTTTCGTGTTTTGGAAGGTCATTATTTGTATATTCATGTGTTAGATATCAGGTTTTAGTTGATCAATCTATTCTCCTCTTGTATATGGTTGTTGGACTTTACAGGATGAGATGTGTGGTATGGTTCACAAATTTAAAAGTTATTTAAACTGAATTTGTTGATTAATTAATTTTATTTTCAATGTAAAATAAATATTTATACTTAAAACAGTAAAAATAACTTTAAAATGTTATTTAAGATTTACTGATTTTTATATTTGAATCACATACTCTTAAACCATTAGAGAATATCTATGTATTTTCAATTTCTCTCTTTGATAATAATTTTTTTAATTTAGTCCCTGAACTTTCTATAATTCTTTTTCATTTCTTCAATTTCATTTTTAGTCTATTTTGATCAAAATTGAACCACATGTTCTTCTATCATCGTAGGATACTTATGTAACCTCGATTCATATTTTAACTACAAATTTACTCTCTTTTTTCAATTTAATCTCATAATTTATTTAATTTGCACTTTTTGACTGTTATTTTTATAAATTCTTTCTTTCCATTAATTCCTTGATTCATTTATGCTCTTATAAATACTTTATTCTAAGATATCTTTTTTTAAAATAATATTATAAATATATTTTACAATTTTAAATTATATTTATTTTATTAAATAACATTACAACACGGAAACTATAAATACTTAATTCTAAGATATAATTTTTTAAAATAACATTATAAATATATTTTACAATTTTAAATTATATTTATTTTATTAAATAACATTACAACACGGAAAGAGATATGAAAATATATATATAGTTAGTAAAAGTTAATAAATTGAAGTCAATATGTATTATAATATTATAAATAATATTCGAACAACTCAATTTGTTTTAACTTAAAATTAGAGTTATAGAATACAATCATTAATTCAATTAATTTAATTTTTTTAAGTCAACGGACACAATTCAAAGTTAAACCTAAACAATAATGAGTGGAATAGAACCCTACGATGAGTTGGTTAACAGAGCAATAATGGTTGGAAGATCAAGTGAGGTCCAAAGAGATTCACCCTCATGAGTTTCACTTGTACTCGAAGAATCCAATGAACTTTGCTGTCTTTTCTCTTCTTCTTTTCCCGCCACTCCCGAATCATCATCTTCTTCTTCTTGCATGCATATGAAAGCTTTGTTAACTGCTCTGATATTCGTTCCGCCATGGCAGCTTCTGACCCGAGCTTCCTTTTCAACAGCTCCGAAATCCCATTGAATGAGTTGAGTGAAGCCGAGAATTTCCTCTCGTACGATATCGAGTGTTCATCTGTGAAATTCTCAGCCGCCATTGTTGGTACTTGAAGCTCTTCAGCGAACTGGAAAGGAGAGCAGTTACAAGACGACTCAAATCCAATCTCATCCAAGAACTGGAAATCCAATGCCCTTCCATCTCCTGAATCGGAATCCGATTCTCTCCTGGAATAATCTTCGTTATCAGTACTTTGACATGATTCAACAACGCTCATCGCATTGAAAATTTCATCGTTTGACGTCGATAAACCCTCGAGAACATCGTCGAGGAAACCATGAGTGGTATCCTCGACTTGCTGCAACAATGGCTGCTGCTGGCTGACAGTAACAGGCGGTGGCGAGAAAGAAGTTGACAGCGGCAATGGAAAACACGGATTATTGTTAGCTTTGATCCTTTGGAGAAGACGATTACTGATCTTCGAAGAAAGGGCTGGAGTCGAATTCAATGACGATGAAGAACAAGGCCAGAAATTCGTTCTCGTATTCGCACCACGAAGCAGGCAAGCGGCTTCATCGTACGCCCTCGCCGCTTCTTCCACCGTATCGAAAGTGCCTAACCAAACCCTTATCTTTTGTATAGTGTCTTTGATATCCGCCACCCAACGCCCAGATGGCTTTTGCCTCACACCCACGTATCGCTTCCTGGTCCTCCTAACGCCGCCAAGTCCGGCGGTTGCTGCGGCGGCTTCTTTAACCATTTCATCCCAACCGTTTCTACTTCCGCCATTTCCACACTCTTTCTTTTCCTACCCATTTCTCCCCTTCTTCTTTCAGTTTATCAACTGAAGCGTTCTTTAGTTTCAGCTATAGCGGATGAAAAGTTCAGTGCTTTATAAACTGGATTTATATGGGAAACAAAGTGAATATAATATTTAAGCTTGACAAGGTCTTACTTAATTGCTTGCTTGTTCATAATATATATATATATATAAGCTATCATAAATGAACACAAATGGATGTTTTCTAGCTCTTCCATTGATGACGAAAATGATTAAATAAATTAAAAAGAACAAATAAATGGTTTGTTGCATTTGAGGCTATTTTTCCATGACCAATTCAAAGAGGATCTTTGCTTCCATTTGGTATGTTCTAAGCAGCATTGTGATTAATTAATATATTATGAGAAAATGATATTTTTATCTTTTATTAATTATTTAACTATCGATATTTAATTTATTAATTTAATAATATGAACTAAATATTATTCGCAACATCATGATTCAAACATCTATCTTATTTAATAAATATATTGCACCATCTCAATATATTTTTCTTGCTTCATTTGTCGAATGAATTGATCTCCGTTGTACTTATGTTTGAATTCTTCTAAAAACAATGACCAAGTAACTTGATTGTTAGACATCCTCAATTTAACATTGGTCCACCAGATCCTCGCTTGTCCTATCAACAAGGAAATCACTCCATCTAACTTTTCAGCATCGGAACAATGAAGTCCCTCAAGCATGACTTTCACGTCATTAAGCCAAACCCTTCAACTCTTTTGCAACATTCATTTTTGGAGTTGAAGTAACAGGAGGTTGAAAACGCGTCAATACTGCGTCTAAAGTTCTAAAGAATACATCTTGATCATTCACAGGCACTCCAGAGGGTGTCTGTTCTTCACTCTGCCTGGCCAAGGCAGGTGAATTACTGCTTTCAGCGGGTATATCATCTCCTGCTTCATTCTAGAACTACCTTGTCCGGACATCTATAAAAATACAATCATATAGTTCTATTAGCATAACAGTATACTTACTATTCCATCAGATCATAAGTTTTCACTATTTTGTTGGCATGTATACCTTATAAAACACTCTAGACTTCGATTTATGCCGAGAATCGACTAAACCTTAGCTCTGATGCCATTAATTGTAACACCCCAACCCGTACCCGACTCGAATACGAGTCCGAGGTGTCACTTTGACTTTTCAAACTTTGACTCTTAAAGAAAAACCTCGGGAATTTAAGACTTTGTTTAAAACAAAATATGTTAATTTACATAAAAGAGACCACAAAATACAAACTCGATCAGAGTGTTCATAATTAACGACTTATTACATGCCAACACTCTATACACAACAAAATAACTACTTTGTCAATTACTTCTGATATGATCTTCTAGTAATAATATTGTCCATGCTACTTCTATTCTTGCTCTTCTCTTTTCTTGGTACCTACGTGTAAATCACTTACACGCTAAGTCATAAACTTAGTGAGGCAATAAATAAACATGTAACAGTAGATTCATGAATATGCATTCTTACCATTTGATCATGATATTTCAATATGCATGTATATATTTCATATGACATATATAACCAAGTCATGCACACATGAAACTTACCTTTTTGCATCACTTTCACTTTAATTTATATTTCAATTGCCCATGTATATTGTTGTTGAGAACAAAGGTATGTGAGTACATTGAGGTTGTGCACTAATGTTGTCACCACAGCTCGTATAAATTCCCTCATGGGCACCGAACATTTGTTCAGTATTCGTCTCGAAGGACTGCTATATATGTCCCGTAGGACCACTACGTCCCGAAGGACTACAATACCCTCGACTCTTGGCATGCCAACTATACATATAGCTCTCGTATCATATACTATGGGCATTTGCAATGAATACATTTCTCATTACTTGTTCTTTCTTTTCTGTCATATACCACATGTATGTGTAACCATGTATTTCATATCATATCACATAGCTTATCTTATTTCACATTGGTCATGTCTCATAGCATATATCACATATGCATATAATCATGTATATCATATCATATATCTTATGTTTTATGCTCTTATGTCTATGCATATCATATAACATATAATAAGCTATACCCATTTCATGTATTCATGCACATATAAGCATCACAAATCAAATAACATTTTAGGAGTCACTTCTTACCATAGTAACTCCATCACTAGCTCATCGCAAGCCAATGTTCGTTCAATAATATAAGTACAATTAAAATTGCACTCACCTTAGCCTTATTTGCTTTGATTCGATCCTAATCCTTTGATTATTCCGGAACTTGTTTAGACTCAATATCTACATAAATATAACATTTCAAAACAACTATCAGAAGCCTAAACCTTAAACTTGATGTTAACAACTTAAACCAAATTAAAGAACCAAATTCCATTTTCATTTAGGGGGAATCGATACCCCCTGAACATACTGATATTTTTCGTTCAAGAGGGGGGAATCGATACCCATTCATAGGGTATCAGTTCCCTCTACCCATAAATTGTATTTTAAGCCCGAAAATCATCAATTCTTCATTCAATTCTTCTATTTTAAACCCCTACCATGTCATTAAACCTAACCACCATTACTTAAACCAATTTATATCAATGAAAACCATCCATAACCTCAAAATCCTATCCCTCATATGTAAATCAAGAATCATACTCAAATTTCAATATGTTCTAAATACAATTCTAACACTTCATATTCCTTAATTAGCATAATGACAAGTCAAATTTAACTTCAAATTCAACTTATCAACTCTTTTCCATAATTTCATATAAAAACCCGTTTTCTTTAATTTCATATAAAAACCCGTTTTCTTTAATTTCTTATAACTTCTTCATCTTTTGATTATAAGACAACTTAAGCTTTCCTTAAGCTTAGTTATCTTCTAATGATCAAAACCTAACTTTTAATTTAACAAATAACCAAAAAATCAAAAAACTCACCTCATGCTTCAAGCCTCACGTATGAAAAACAAAGAGGAGAAGATAACTCTGGAGAATTATCTCCTCTTCCACGTGTATCTCTCTAAATAGAGAGATGACAATATCTTTTAAGCTAAATTACCATACTATCCTTTTAATTCTTTCATATTCACCACTTAATCCAACTGAAATATTCCTATTTAAATCAACAAATTCTAAAACTTTACAATAAAGTCACTAACTCGTAGTTTGGGATGTTACTCTCCCATTTTACTTCTTGTACTTGTACTGATTCGCAGTTTGGCCCTTGTACTGATTTTTCTCCATTTTACTTCTTGTATTGTTACTCTCCTCAATATTTTTTCCCTTCTGTCGCTACTATTAAGGGAAAAAATTGTATGGTCTGATCAGAATATGACATGTGTAAAAATTTAAAAAATATAGAAAAATCGTATGTACCGTAATCTTTGATGTCATAAAATAGAGAAATCTTCATAAAATAGAGTAAAATAACACAAAAACGTATATGATACAAAAATAAAATAAGCATCGTATGAATTAAGGCATAACATAAACATACTATGAACACATCATTTTTAAAAATAAAATTATTGTGTTAACTCATGCAAAAATGGTACATGCAATGTGATATAATCATGGCATGCATGCACATTAAGTTATAATCTCTATAAAATAAATAGTTAATTTATATACAATATTATATGTAAATATATAATACTTTAAAGACATAAATATAAATATAGTATAAAAATAATATAAATACATGTATGTATCACTGACGGAACTACGTTGGGGCCGAAGCGAGACATGAGCCATCCCAACCTTTATGGTTTAATTGTAAGCCGTTTTGAAACCATTAAAGTTATGTCCTGACCCTCCTAAACTTTTATGGTTTAATTATTATTTTTAGACGTTATCAGTTTTAAAGTTACATAAAATTAAGTCTTGCCTCCAACTTTTTTTGTTTAATTACTTTTTAGGACATGATAATTTTGAAATTAGTAAATTATGCCATTATCCTCTATTTTTTGTGGTTAATTACCTTTTAGAACCTTATTAGTTTCAAACATAAGCAACTTGACCCCTCCCATAATTTCATCGTAGTTTCGCCCTTGAGTAATACCCGAGTTAAAATGAGTATCTTTGAAGGAAAAATCACGTCAACATTGTAATCAGAATAATTAATAGGTTTAACTATTTTGACCAGTAAATGATATTAGAAAATGATATAATTAAATAATGCTAAATTGAAGTATATGTACTAAATCCTAAATTTAAACATATTATAAGGATCAAAATTGTAATTTCGGCGAAGTAAGCATCCAAATTTACCAAAATTGGAATTTGATACATAGGTTGGGTATATAGATGATGAGTATACTAAAATAATCTAGAATGCTTTGGTTTCATATTTTGGGTATACATATATTATATATTAAAGTTTGAGTTAATTGCATCACATGTTTTTAAGTATAATATTCAATTTAAATTAGTCTCTAAACTTTTAAATATTTTAGTTTTATCTCTAAACTACGACTATCATTTAAATTAGTCCTCAAACTTTTGAATATTTCAATTTCATCCCCAAAATATGGCATTCATTCTAAATTAGTCTCCAAACTTTTTAAATATTCCAATTTCATCCCAAACTATACGTATTATAATAACATCCATTGTTAATAAAACCGTCAGACCTATTATTATATGTTTGAAAATAATAATATTTAAGTTAAACTATGGTTGAAATTAATTACATATTTGAATGAATTTGGGGATGAAATTGGAATATTCAAAAGTTTGGACACCAATTTAGAAAGAGTGTCTTAGTTCAGGGATGAAATTTGAATGCTTAAAAGTTTAAGGACTAATTTAGAATGAGAGTCATAGCTTAGGGATGAAGAATATTTAAAAGTTTAAGGACCAATTTAAAAGGAAGGTTATAGTTTAGGGACATATGATGCAATTAACTCTTAAAGTTCAAATTAAATTGATAT